ATCCCAACTTTAGGAAAGAGAGGATAAACTTTATTTTTAATGAAGATCCAGACCGCGTCAGTAAGAACTTGGGCCTTTGTTCACTTCATTTCACTGCGGATTCATTTACAAACAAGGCACAACTCAACGCAGGATTTTCAGCTTTTGTCTTCTCCAGATGTTAACTGATGGACTGGAGTGCTGTGGATTACTTGTGGATTATTGTGATGTTTTTATCAGCTGTTTGGACTCTCATTCTGACGGCACCCATTCACTGCAGAGCATCCATTGCTGAGACACTGATGCAGTGCTCATTCTGACGGCACCCATTCACTGCAGAGCATGCATTGCTGAGACACTGATGCAATGTTACATTTCTACAAATCTGATGAAGAAACAAACTCATCCTGATCTTGGATGAACTGAGGATGAGAACATTTTCAGATTATTTTGATCTAAGAGTTTCTTCTTAAATAATAATACAGATGAATCATTCCCATTAGACTGAGGTCATCATAGTTGGGTAAACGTCTAATAGAGGTGAACGGAAACTATAACAAATATAATTGTTGTGCTCTTAATTTGCTCCAGTAGCAAAAGAACAAAATCCAAAATAGCATTTATATGCCTTAACATGCAACAAGAAAATAAACAGGGTCAGATTTGATTTCATGCCAACTTTTAAAGGAATAATCCACCAAAACGGCTCATTCACTCTGATCGCTGCTGGAAAAGAGCAGCAGGAACATTCTGACAAACATCTGCTGTAGTGCTCCACTGAGGAAAGACAGTCATGCAGGTCTGAACATTAGTAAATGATGACAGAATGAGGTTTGAACACCTCAACGCTGATGTTTACTCCTGGGAAGATCCTGCTTATGAGTTTCTGGTTGGAACAAAATGCACAATTTAATATTCCTTTCTCTCCCGTCATGTTTTCTGGTAGGATTTACCACTATTCTTCATCAACCCAACTGTACAATTAACAAACCCAATTGGCATGAACAGCAATTAGCTTCAGCCATGACTCTTTAATTGATGTTGGAGCTCAAATAAAAGTTTCCAGATGTTCTCCTCTCATCAACACAATCGCGCTCACGTATCGCAGTATCTGATTTCAGCGCGGTGAAAAGAATGACAGGAGATTTTTAAATCCACTTCTGAAGTCGTGATTACGAGTTTGCTGCGCTCAGGTGCTTTGTCGTCGGAAAGAATAGGAATCACAAAGAACACCTGGTTCATTCTTGGCTATTTTTTTGGTAGAAATCTTATGAAAGCCAAAATGTATAGAAGATATTTAAAGGAATAGTTCTCCCAAAAATGAAAATTAGCTCATGATTTACTCACCCTCAAGCCATCCAAGGTGTGTATGACTTTCTTCTTTCAGACGAATCCAATCGGAGTTATATTAAAAATGCCATTGCCTTTCCAAGCTTTATAATGGCAGTGAATGGGTGTTATTTTTCAATAGTCCAAAAGAAGTCCAATAAAGCGCATCCATCCATCATAAAAAGTGCTCCACACGGCTCCGGGGGGTGAATAAAGGCCTCCTGAAGCGAATCAATGCGTTTGTGTAAGAAAAAAAATCTGTATTTAAAACTTTATAAATCGTAATCTCTAGCTTCCGCTAACTGTCATTCCAGTTAGAGATTACAGTTTATAAAGTTTAGAGCCGTGTGAGGCACTTTTTATGATGGATGGATGCGCTTTATTGGACTTCTTTTGGACTATTGAAAAATAACACCCATTCACTGCCATTATAAAGCTTCGAAGAGCCAGGACAATTTTTAATATAACTCCGATTAGATTCGTCTGAAAGAAGAAAGTCATACACACCTCGGGGTGAGTAAATCATGGGCTAATTTTAATTTTTGGGAGAACTATCCCTTTAATCGATATCCAACGGATTTTGAACAAAATGCAGCATCCCATTCATTAACAAACATATTAACGTCAATCTAGATTGTCATTTCTGGAATTTCTGTCAAAAAAAATGGCATGTAAAATACACACAGTATTCATCAAATGGTTATTTTTACATGTACACTAATTTTGTTCTAATTAAAGTTGTAAATAAAACAAACACCGATTCTACAGCACTGCCCGTTTAGCCCCGCCCACAGATTCGCGCATGTATTGTAAATAACAAAGGAGGCAAACACAGGTCTACGCAGCAATTAAACGATAAACATGCTCTAAAACATCAAGACGCTGTTCAGTGTCTTTGCATCGCCTTCCTTCTGATCCCAACTTTAGGAAAGAGTGGATAAACTTTATTTTTAATGAAGATCCAGACCGCGTCAGTAAGAACTTGGGCCTTTGTTCACTTCATTTCACTGCGGATTCATTTACAAACAAGGCACAACTCAACGCAGGATTTTCAGCTTTTGTCTTCTCCAGATGTTAACTGATGGACTGGAGTGCTGTGGATTACACGGCTCCGGGGGGTGAATAAAGGCCTCCTGAAGCGAATCAATGCGTTTGTGTAAGAAAAAAAATCTGTATTTAAAACTTTATAAATCGTAATCTCTAGCTTCCGCTAACTGTCATTCCAGTTAGAGATTACAGTTTATAAAGTTTAGAGCCGTGTGAGGCACTTTTTATGATGGATGGATGCGCTTTATTGGACTTCTTTTGGACTATTGAAAAATAACACCCATTCACTGCCATTATAAAGCTTGGAAGAGCCAGGACAATTTTTAATAGAACTCCGATTAGATTCGTCTGAAAGAAGAAAGTCATACACACCTCGGGGTGAGTAAATCATGGGCTAATTTTAATTTTTGGGAGAACTATCCCTTTAATCGATATCCAACGGATTTTGAACAAAATGCAGCATCCCATTCATTAACAAACATATTAACGTCAATCTAGATTGTCATTTCTGTAAAAAAAAATGGCATGTAAAATACACACAGTATTCATCAAATGGTTATTTTTACATGTACACTAATTTTGTTCTAATTAAAGTTGTAAATAAAACAAAGATTACTGGAGTATGTTTTACAAGAAAATAATATTTCAGTTTTTCTACTCATTCACAAATTGTAAATAAAACAGATTATAAAAGTACATTTTACAAGAAATTACTATCTCTGTTTTTCTACTTCAAAATATCATGTTTAATTCAATGCCATTTCTTCTGAACTATTTGTGAAATTCACTAGCAAGTTCTTCTTCTGCACAAGTTTTTTCAGTGTAAATATATGAACATGTATATGATATATAAATATGATATATAAACATGACCATAACAGGAAGAGAAAGCAATGTACGCTGAAAAAATTGAAGCAGAATTTACTTGAAAAAAGCTAGGGATCAATTTTCAATCAGAAATTGCTAGTAAATTTCCCAAATTATTACACAGAAATGACAAGTAGCACACTGACTTAAACATGAAATTCTGGAGCAGACAAACTATTTTCTTGTCAAATCTACTTTAGTAATCTTTTTTTTAAATTTACAACTTAGAAATATCATTTTTACAGTGTATATGTTGTGGGAAAAATACCCAAAATACCTTTTGACTAAGAAACTTATGATAAATCCGATAGATACTGTTAGAATATTCATACTGACTCATCAGCAAAACAAACACCTGCAGAAACACACACGGCCAACAAAAAATATATACTGTTTACTGCTTTATACAGAAAATTTAGTTCAATTTTAAACACATTCAGCAAAAATGAACTGAGAGGCCAGTTCATAAACAGAAGATAATTCAACATGTCTTTGAAATTATTATGAAATGGATTCATATACTGGATCACACAGAAAATATGAGTCATAAATAATTAAGCCAATGAGCAAACCACACTTATATGAAATGCTTTTGTATTTAAACTGTCCATGTCAAAAGTGTGATTTCATCTGTTGATACTAAAATCTTTATATTACATTTCATTAATTATATCCGTGACCCTTACAGATGATGAGCGGACTGGGGAAGGAATTGATGGATTATTGATTACATTATTGTTATCAAGTAATAAAATGCACATCTTTACAATTTTGATCTTTCTAATTTTATATACTATTTTCAGTTAAGAAATTTGCACATGCTTTGCAACATTTCTGTAGGAGCGAACTAAAAAAAACAACCCACACAAAACACGACTAAAACACCAACCTGAAAATACATGCTGAATCCTGATGAAACACTTACCACACACAACACATGCTGAACACACACACTCACACACTCACACGCACTCACACACACACTCTCTCTCTCTCTCACACACACACACACAGACACACACACACTCACACGCCCTCACACACACACTCTCTCTCTCTCTCACACACACGCACTCACACACACTCTCTCACACGCCCTCTCTCACACACACACACACAGACACACACACACTCACACGCCCTCACACACACACTCTCTCTCTCTCTCACACACACGCACTCACACACACTCTCTCACACGCCCTCTCTCACACACACACACACAGACACACACACACTCACACGCCCTCACACACACACTCTCTCTCTCTCTCACACACACGCACTCACACACACTCTCTCACACGCCCTCTCTCACACACACACACACACTCTCACGCACTCACACACGCACACACACACACTCTCTCACACGCATTCCCACATGCACTCTCACACGCACTCTCTCACACGCACTCACACACACACACACACACACTCACACGCACTCACACACACACTCTCTCTCTCTCTCACACACACACACACGCACTCACACACACGCACTCACACACACGCACTCACACACACGCACTCACACACACGCACTCACACACACGCACTCACACACACGCACTCACACACACGCACTCACACACACGCACTCACACACACGCACTCACACACACGCACTCACACACACGCACTCACACACACGCACTCACACACACGCACTCACACACACGCACTCACACACACGCACTCACACACACGCACTCACACACACGCACTCACACACACGCACTCACACACACGCACTCACACACACGCACTCACACACACGCACTCACACACACGCACTCACACACACGCACTCACACACACGCACTCACACACACGCACTCACACACACGCACTCACACACACGCACTCACACACACGCACTCACACACACGCACTCACACACACGCACTCACACACACGCACTCACACACACGCACTCACACACACGCACTCACACACACGCACTCACACACACGCACTCACACACACGCACTCACACACACGCACTCACACACACGCACTCACACACACGCACTCACACACACGCACTCACACACACGCACTCACACACACGCACTCACACACACGCACTCACACACACGCACTCACACACACGCACTCACACACACGCACTCACACACACGCACTCACACACACGCACTCACACACACGCACTCACACACACGCACTCACACACACGCACTCACACACACGCACTCACACACACGCACTCACACACACGCACTCACACACACGCACTCACACACACGCACTCACACACACGCACTCACACACACGCACTCACACACACGCACTCACACACACGCACTCACACACACGCACTCACACACACGCACTCACACACACGCACTCACACACACGCACTCACACACACGCACTCACACACACGCACTCACACACACGCACTCACACACACGCACTCACACACACGCACTCACACACACGCACTCACACACACGCACTCACACACACGCACTCACACACACGCACTCACACACACGCACTCACACACACGCACTCACACACACGCACTCACACACACACTCTCTCACACGCACTCCCACACGCACTCTCTCACACGCACTCTCCCACACGCACTCTCTCACACGCACTCACTCACACGCACTCTCCCACACGCACTCTCTCACACGCACTCTCTCACACGCACTCTCTCACACGCACTCACTCACACACACACACACACACACACACACACACCCAC